GCCCATGCTTTAAAAACTTAGGAAACATGTTGGGAGGAAAACGATTAAATTCTATGCAATTTCTATAGGGCTAAGTGCTTTTATAATTTAGTATGTTCTCTGGAAACACCTAGTTTAACCACTGCATTTTGCAGATAAAGCACCTAAAGCCTGAAGAGGATAAATGTACTGTATTTAATCATACAACTAATTAGTGCTTAAACTGGCTTTTCTCATTCTCGCTTATATATTCCTATTACTTTCTTTAGTTATTCAAGTGATGTTTGCTAGGAAAATAGGTATCTAGTGTTTCCATAGCCCTGCTGCAATTCTTATCACAGGAGAAAAAAATTCCAGTGAATCAGGGACTATTTTTGTTTTGTTTTGTTTTGTTTTTTTCTCACCATGGTTTGCTTAGAGTTAGCACTCAATAAATGTGTGTAGAATAAATGATACTGTTATGTTCAATGTCCCAGTTTCACCTTCCAATGTTTAGCATTAACGTGGTATCTGGCATATATATGTTGCAAATATATAATTTCTGGAAGCATGACTACATCTTGAGTGAATGGCTCTACCATTTTGACAAATGTATTACATTCACTTGAGGTCAAATACGGAAACTAGAAAGAATGAAAATTCCAGTGATTCACCTCCCTTTGAAGATAGGTTAAACTTAGTGACTCACAAAAAATAGCATAAGGAAAGGGAAAAGAAATTGTAACTTTACAGAGAAGAAACCTACCAAAAACAACAAATGATCAGGCAACCATCATTATGGATGTTGGAGACTTCACCTCTGCAGTATTTGTTTTTCAAGAACCCACAACTCCAGTCCAGTTATGAGTAAAATAATAGACAAAGCCAGTGGGGGATATTCTACAGGATACCCGGCCAGTATTTCTCAAGACCATTATGGGGGGAAGGTGATGAAGGGAAGACTGAGAAACTTGAGAAACAGACCAAAGGAGGCTGGGAGGACATGCCACGTCAACCCAATGCAAGGTGATAACCTGGACTGGATTCTAGAATAGAAAGTTCAGAGTTTGGTGCCTTTCTTTTCTTTCTTTCACAAAGGCACCATGGTAATATAAAATTAATACCATTAATGTTTGCCAAAGAATGATATACTGAGATATTATATATTATATAAACTCTTAAACATCCATATAATTCCCATTACACTGAAAAAAATGTAAAGGGGTTATTGACCACTATACTTGATATACAACAAATGTTAGCCGTCTCCTACCTTTAGAGGCTACACCTATTTTCAGTAAGTTCCCAAATGGTTTTTGCTTGTGTTTTAGGGCCTAGACTTGAATGAATTATCAGGGTTATTCAGAAGTACAGGGAAGCTAATGCCAGAAGTCAAGTTTAGCCAGTTTACATGAGATAGAGTTAAATCTTGGCCAGTATCAAGTTATTCTAGATATAAAAATGTATGTCGCATCAATGAAACTCCTTTGGAGTTAGAAATATAACAGATTTTCAAAACTTAATCATCCTTTTCCTAGACTGTATGATTACATGCTTTATTAAGGACTCACTTAATATACTTTCTTCAGATTATGGGAGTAAGTTTCAGCTATCATTATGGATTTATGTTAAGAATTTTTTTTTAACATGATCACTTTATGTTCTACCTTTTAAGTTGGATAGACTTTCCTCTTGGACATAATCATTATCATGACGGTTAACAATTCATAAATCCAGTAATGAGATTCTGATTACTTTTATGTAAGTCTGAAATTTACCAGCAAGAGCTGAGGAAGGGACTGGCACAGATTAACCCTCTATGTGCTAGTATTTTAGGGGGAATGCCCCCAGGCGAGTTAGAGTTAAATGGAAGGAGGATGGAAAATCTTTGAAATAATGTAGTCATCTTTCTCTATGCTAAAATAAGGAAAGTAATTAAAAGAGCTGCCATCTGTAATTACCAAGGAGACCTGTCTTATGGGGGGAAGTGGGGCTTTGTTAGATAACAAACACTGGAGTTGTAATCCAACACAAATAATAATCCAGACACATGAGCAAGATCTATTAACCAGTGATGGCAAACAGCCACACACTGCCTGGATGAATCACTCGGTGTGTCGTCAAGAAAGGGAACTAATTTTTTAAACCTGGTAATGCAGTATTGCCCTAGTTCAGGCTTTGTATGTTGACAGTGAATAAATAGCCTAAGCGGATTCACTCCCTTTGGGATGCAGGTCAGAGCGCAGTCCTACAATCCCTTTTATCTCTATGTTTTCTGTGCATTTTATTTAATAATGCTTCTGAACTAACAGATCTATTTGGGCATTGTATATCACATGTGGGCTTGAACTGTTTTTTTCCTTTATACTCAATTTGAGTTCTGCCAGCCTTCTGATGAATCTGTAGTTGGTTATGAAGTGGAATCAGGCAAAAGAGTGAGGATAAGAAATCAAATATTTAACCCCAAAGGACAAACTTCCCTGAGCAACCATATTTTAGATGCATCATAACTACATATTAAACATGGGACACCTTCCGACTTTGGCTCAGGTCATGATCTCATGGTTCGTGGGTTCAAGCCCCGCGTCAGGCTCTGTGCTAACAGCTCAGAGCCTGGAGCCTGTCTTCAGATTCTATGTCCCCCTCTCTCTCTGATCCTCCCCTGCTCATGCTGTCTCTCTCTCTCAAAAATAGATAAAACATTTAAAAAAAATTTTTTTAAATAAAAAATAAATGTGGAATGCCTGAGTTGGTCGTCTTTACTTCTAATTAATATACTGTTTCCTTCAAATTCAAATATTTAGAGTTAGGTAACTCCTTGATTCCCTCTTGGAATGTTTCTTTGTCCTTCTGGGACAAAAAGACACCACTGAATTTACTGGATTTATATTTATACCAAGTTACCTCCTCCAATTTGCTATAAGAAGTTTCCTTACAGAGAAGTTTTATCACATGAGATATGATGAGTAAAGCACTTGCCAGGAAATGTCATCTTCTTGTAAAAACTCAAATCACAATTACCTCTGGCAATGGTGGACAGATAATGCCACAGAAAAGATAGAACAGATAAGCGAAATCCAGAGATAAGCCTCAAATCTCATTTCAGCCCCAAATTTCAAATGCTTCCCCACTCCCAAATGACTTTCTTGAGAGTTGATGGTAAACTGAAAAATATCACTGACCTGAGATCCATTCTTTTTTTTAATTTTTGAAAAATTATAAGCTATTTGTCTACAAGTTTGAAATAACAAAAACATAAAACACTCTTCTTTATAATTAGCAGCCTCTGAAATCAGTTCAACTTAACACCGTGAGCTATACCTCCCTAGGCAAATATGTATGCCCATCATGTTATGAGTTACATAACATGATTATGTACTAGTTTGATTTGTGCTACAAATCAAACATTAGATTTGTGCTACTTTGTTATTTAATCTCATTTATATTAGAAAACACAATCTGTCATTCATAGAGGAAAGAAATGTAAAAGTTCAGGGAATTGCTCCTTCTCCACTTCAAACTTTCCCATCATGGAGCACTTGGTAGCTCAGTCGGTCAGTTAAGCATCCAGCTTTGGCTCAGATCATGATCTCACAGCTCGTGAGTCTGAGCCCCACACTGAGCTCTCTGCTGTCAGCACAGAGCCTGCTTCAGATCCTCTGTTGCCCTCTCTCTGCCCCTCCCTCACTTGCTCTGTCTTTCTCAAAAATAAAAAAAAAAACATTAAAAAAACCTTTTGCGTCAAAGGAAATGAAAGTGAAGAACATATGTTGGAGGGAAGGCTGAGGAGAAGCTAGAAGGTACTGATGTTTAAGGAAAAGAACCAGAAGGGTTAAGGAAGCTGAACAGTGGAGAGAATTGACAAAGGAGAAACTTCACACGGAATTCTCCGGGAGGTTCAGTGATTGGATGAACTACCAGGGAAATGGATCCTCACTCAATGCCACTTCCAGATTGGAAAGTCCCCACACCCAACCCTTAAACTGACCCCAGATTTCAAGATTTCCATCCACTAAACCCCATTCCAGGATGACAGGTTCAGAAATCAGAGCCTGGAAATCATTATCCTGGGAATGTGTCCCTACTCTATTCCTACCAGTGGCTTCTGCAACTCCAGGTAGGTCCGTGCCGAGAGCTGTTTTGAGCTTTTAGTTCATAAACCTCTGGTTCGGTATCAAACTCCTTCCTTTCTGTTGGCGTCCTTGCCTGTGCTCTTGGATACTGGTTCTGATCTTCTCTGACTTTACTGTACTTAACTATTGTTCTCTACAACTAGGGTGGAGCCAAGAAGACTACTAACTAACACACCTGTGGTCTTATCATCTTCTGGCCTACTTTACCTGGTTACCTCATATATCACAATACAGACAGGGATCTAAAATAGTGACTGGAATATAAAAAGTGCCCAATAAATCCTGAATCAGAGACGAGATGAACTAAAAACTAGTTATCCATTTAAAGAAGCATATGGAAAATATGAACATTGAGAAGTATTCATATGTAGAGTCAATTTTAAGATTTTAGGAATAACAGTACCTCACCATCTATGAATCACTTTATCATGACACTGAGTATTCTGTGGGTCTCTTACATTATGCAATCACATAATAGCTAGAAGGGCTAGACATGTCTTTACAGATAACACTGTCACATCTGCATAAAATAGGAGAATAATATTTGGTAATATAGGCTCCAGGAAGAGACTCATGCTGTCTCAGGCATTTTCTACATGTTACTATACCATATGTCATTTGCCAACCTTCTGCTCCCTCATTTTAGGTAAACTTGAGACTAAAGTGGTTAATAAACCAAGATGCCTAACCTGGCATCTTCCACATAATAGTTTTATTCTCCTGCTTTCCTTTCTCCAGTTCCATTTTCTTCGGCCCATAAATCACCACTTGACATTCACGTATTACTACACTTCCCTTCATTTTTCTAACCATTGTTTTCAGACACAAGATGAATCTATCCATCAAACCAAGGGCAATCAAGAAGCTGAAGATAGGCTGATCACATGAAATCCACAAGGCACAACTTACAAGCTTCCCGAAGTTTCTCTTTGTCATAGTGGAATCCTTCATAGTCTTGTAAACTGATTTTGTTCACCCGGATCCTCAGGCGGTCTGGGACGGACTGGGGACTGCAAAAAGAAGAACCGAGTAGTCAGACGTAAATGAGAGGGTGGAATTGAGAGCCACATGCACCTGGAAGGGCTACAGGCAAAAAACAAAAAGTCTCTTCATGCTTGGAAGAAAAAGCTCTCATTCACACCAGAATTTTAGGTGCTTCACCAGAATATAGTCATGATCTGGAGAATACATCTCCAGAAACCTCAGGTTTCTAGAATTTAGGTAAGAACACAGGAATAATTGGAAAAAGCTTCTGGAAGCAACTCCTATCCTATTTGCTTTTAACTTGTTAAAAATTCAAATAAGATCACGTGTTTAGTTCCATGATAAATTAGACACAGCTAATCTGAAACGGTAAGAAGTGGTATAGGGTATAAAAAACCGCTGTTGACAATTATGCCCACTTCATCCTATTATGGCAGCTTGGCCCTCAGAAGACACACACACACACACACACACACACACACACACAGCAAGCAAGCAAACAAAAAACTATAAAAAGCAGACCAAGAATTAAGAAAACATAGGACTGAGCTCAAAATAGCTCCAACAGTCAAAGCACCTCTCAGTCAAAGCTTATGACAATAAATGCTGCCTGTGATGGGGACTGTGAGTACCCCAAAATGAAGGGAAAAAATTAAAATATTTCTAATGTACTTTCCTTAGAAAGGGAATGAAGTTGCAATTTATTTTAACAGAATTCAAGATAAATGTTAAACAAAAAAGGGTTGTGCCAAGCTTTCTGAAGCATCCTGTTCACCCATAGAATGTCTTTACCTGGGTTCCATGGGTTTTAAGTAATATTTTCAGGTTAATTTAATCACTGGCATTAGTTGGGCGAAACAATTTAATTTTCACCAGCACTCCTACGGATCAAAACATTTCTTCAATGGGTTAATACATCAAAACCTCCTCTTGTCCTTCACTATTACCTTACACTTAGGTTTCATTGGTTCAGATAATTTTAGCAAATAGAGGATTGCTTCTCCTTTCTTGTATTATGGGATAAAAGTCACCATTGACCCAAGGAGAAAGAATAGCATTACTTCATTTCAATAAAGAAGGGAAAGAATGCAAAAGAGAAAGAAGGGAAAAAAGAGAAGAAAAAGAGGGAAGGAAGAAGAAAAAGATAGATAGAAGAAAGGAGTGATTAAACATTATCTGGATACTGCGACCCCCACCTCAAACACACACATGCATGGAATTTCACTGCAACTCTGGAAAAAGGAGAGGGAAATGATTCAATCTCATTCTCTTGTCCGATGCCTCATTGTAAGACAATGTATAATAACTCCCAGCAGGTAGACTGCCACTCTAATACTTTAAAACAACATACATATCCAACTATGGATACATATGTGCATACTCATACATAACTCTCTTCCTGCCCCATCCCCCCCCCATGCAAAGATATTTAGATATAAGTGCATAAATTCTAAAGAGAGATGGTGGACAAATAAAAATGTCTGGGGTTCACGGAGTTAAAATCTAAGCCAATACAAAAGGATAAGATGGATATTTCTGAGGGAAAGTTTGAGAAGACAAGTCAATAGATCGGTCCATTCAAAGTGTGTCTGTTGGGTGTCCACTGTGTAATGGGCTTTGTGCTGGACATGGAATAGGCTTTGATGAATAAAACTGGCATAAGTCGTAATGGTAAATATGATGTGAAGGCATAATTGGAAACTAGAACATACCTTAAATATCATGTATACCATACCATCATTTACAGGTAGGGAAGCTGAAAGGTAAAGTGATATTTTGGTCACATAGCTACTAAGTGGCAGAGCTGGAAGCAGAGTTAGACTCTTACGCTCATAGGTTTCATGCTTGTTTTATTATATGATGCCAAGAATACCACGGATTTCATGGCAAAACCATAGAGTCTGAACTAACAAAGTCAAATGATCTCTATGTGGTGTTCAGGCTCTTATCAATAAGCAATCAATAGAGGGACAGTCGAGTAAACTGTGGTAGACTGAAACAACAGAACACTGGGCAAATAGTACAAATGAGTGTGTAGCTCTGCATTTGTTTGGAGGGAAGTTCAACTATAACACTCTGAAGTGAAAAAAAGTTATAGAAAATTATATCTGGAATAATCTCCTTCATGTCAACTGCGTAACTTCAGCATCTGTAAATGTACACAAATGTCTAGAGAAAACGTTCAGTAAGCTATCCCAAGCAGTTACCTCTACATGATGGGTCTTAGGGATTATTTCACACTGAGTATCATCCTTTTTAGGAAAAGATTTAAAAATTTTGTCAATATGTAAATAAATGATAACTCAGGACCAGAGTAAAAATAAGAGTTATGGCGAAGAGTTTTAGGTATTAGATATAAATAGATAGGAAAAGATAGGAAAGAACTTAAGCAATTTACAGAGTGACCATACAGTGTATCAAATGCTTATCCCCAAATTAAGAGGGGTCTGATCTTTTTATTTCCAAGCTCACCCTAGTGACCTGCAAAGACTGTACTTAGCAAATATTTCCCCCCAGGTACATCAGGTAAGAGGGAAGTGTAGGGGCCCACCATACCCTGTAGTGGGAGATGGGGGAGGACAGAGGTTGAAAGAGCTCTACTTCCATAAATTTCAAGATTATAGTAGGTCTAATGACAGTGAGGTCTAGTCTTCCCCAGCAGGCTGGGGATGTCAGGACTAAAACCTGTGCCAGCAGTAGCTGTAAAGTGGAAAATAGGGTAGAGGGAATGAGTACAGACCAGTCACTATATGGCCTTCTCCCAGGAGCTCCCCACTAGCCAACCAGTGTGTACCACCTTTCTCCCAGTCCATCGGTGCCTGCTCCCTGGCCACGTCCACCTCCCCGCTTTGCATCTGCACCCACCAATTCCAGCCACACGCTGCTGCCTCCTGAGCCACAGCCTCCACCAGTCATCCTGACTGATGGGTGACACACTATGCACGTGCCACACGAACTGTCATCTGAATGGAACTTTCCAGAATCCAAATCAATTCATGGATTATCTCGCTTCATCTCTAGAGTGATCAACTAGGCAGGAGAGAAGAAAATGAAGACTCACCGCTTGCCACTCTCCCCCATTCCACCTTCTTATACACCCCCTCTCTCTTGCCGTCAGCTCCCATCTGTTCCTGAGGACTTACAATGCATCCCATGTTCCCACCAGCAGCAGCTTGCTTAAACCCACTCTTCTGACTAGGGGACCTGGGGTTTGGCCTGCCATCAAATGTTGAGGCCCACCAGTAAATTTTAGGGCAACCACGGGATCCATGGTGGAAATCTTTGAATTATTTTGGATCCAGCATGAACAGTAGCAAAGTGAAAGAGCTCAGACTCTGAGTCACATTGCCTGGATGTGAAGCAAAGCTCCTCCAGTTACTGGTTCATCAGGTAACCCCGTTTCGGCTCCTCATAGGTAACACGGAGATGACGAGAGGATCCACCTCGCAAAGATGCTATGAGGATTAGCTGAGTCGGTACAGGTAATGTGCTGAGAAACATGCCTGGTATGTTGCAATTGATCAGGAGATACTAGCTATTACCACTATAATTACTATTCTGAAAACCGCTCCCCTACATAAGGTTCTGCTAATAAACAATAGCACCGGTTGCTGCCAGGTTGCAGAAGAAGTTTAGGGCATGTGCAGAAACCTCCCTAGGCACCTGTGACAAGCTGCTGGGCAAACAGTCTAGCCTCGATAATGTCATCATTCTCCTGGAACTTCTCCCACAGGTATTTTACAGGCCAACCAATAACATGAAAACAGACAACAAGAACAAGGGAAAGATAAAATACACAGATATTAAATGAAAGCCAAGTAATTCAATTGTGTCCCTTTATGTCAAAATATATTAATGTCCCATTAGTGGCTGAGTGGAGGTGGACGATGACAAAGCTGTTCCTCGGAGTCTGGGGAATGGCAGTGCCATTAGTTTTCTAAAATTAAATTTTCCCAAGAAAGTTAGTGGAGCAGAGAAGAGATGAACATCCTGGTTAGGCTGAATTTGCCTCCATACCAACATCTGCCACAAACTCTTCCTATCCTGACTTTGGCCCTATATCCGGTTGGTGGGGGCGGGGGGGGGGGGTTGTCTAAACCAGACTTCCATGGAGTCACTCAAGGTTCCTAAAAGAGACTCAGCAGTCTTTGAATTCTCTCTGAAATCCAGACAGTGACCTCAACCTATCATCTTCTCACAAATTTCCTGTGAAATGTCAAGATTGCGTGTTTTGTGCACGTTAGAAGTGCATGGCTCTGAATGTAACTCCCAAATGTCCCCCCTGACAACTCCCTCAAGAACTACAATGAAATCAATAAATGTACTCCCTTGGGCTCCAGACCACACCTTCTCACATCCGCATTACACACACCTGTGACACTGAGATGCTGGGAGCAGGGGGGAGGTGGAAGTGCAATCCAGACAGCTCCCCGAATATTCACTGCCATTCAACTTACACCCAGTTCTCATTCCTCTGTCTTCAAACTTCATTCTTTTGGTTTCATTACTACACATGTTCCTCTAAGTCTGATAACAGATTCCCTCATTCCAATCATCTCACATGGACACCCCTCATGGACAGAGAATGACTTGGGTGCTTTTGTTCCCCTGGGCCACTTCCAGACCAGCAACACCACATAATTCTTTCTTCTCACTAGAAACATAGGTAATCTGGGAATCATATCCTTTAATATTAAGATACTATAGCCAGTGTGCGAAGCAAGATGTAAACTCAGAAAAATCTTAGTTCCAATTTGAACTCTGTCACTTAATTAATACATGTTTGACATTGAGAACTCTGAAGTTACCTTGGCCAAACCACTGACTGGAAGATGGAACTGATAATAAGAATATAGTGAGCATTGAAGAAAACACATGTAAGGCAGTTAGCACATCCCTAAAAAAGAATAAGTATTAAATATATTGTTGTTGTATATTTTAATACCCTGATCCTCCAACTTCCACAAGGTTTTTTAAAAAAATTTTAATCCTAGATAAGAGTGCCTGGATGACTCAGTTAGTTAAG